GACTCCTCTCGGAGGAGGGAGAAGCCAATGGATTCAACGAACTCGAGGCAACACCAAGAGGAAGAGTCTTAATGAAACAAAAAGAACCTCTCGAAGAATAAGCTTTCTTGTCCTCGAAATTAGAACATAGCTTGACATGGAAGCTGAACTCAGCTTGTCTAAAGGATAGATAAACTCATTTCTTCTTCACCATAACAACCATTAAGCTAAGTAATTAACAAGACTATCTCGGACAGATTTATAAGATGCTTTATGCACTGAACTGCAGCTCAAGGGACTATCTGTTCTCGTGGGAAAGAACAAGTGAAGAACACACCAACAGAATTTGGAAAAGCCAAGGGGGAAAAAGTGAGATCTTGGACATGCACGACGAGCAAAAGAGAGAAAAAGATTCGGCAATGTCTGTCCTTAAATTCTTGAACTAAAGCTCTTTGTTTCTTGATGCAACCAAAGGTTTGATTCCCTCAAAATGACCTCAGAATAAGCAAAAGTTACGAATTGGCCCTGCGTGTACCTTCCTCAGAACGCCCATGCAAAGATCACTCGTCTTCCGTGGTCTAAAACTCTGAGAATGTTGATCAATGACAGTAACTTAGGCTTCTCTTTTATCTTTTACTCGTGCCCAACGAAGTAACCCTGGCGATCTGATGGCATCATAAGAAGGGCTTTTTATCTGCCATTTCAAAACTTAGAAGAAGTGATCTTTAATCTGCTTAACCCACGGGAACTTTGTGGCAACCACCAAAAATGAATCTCGTCAAGAAATCACAAAGAATGCTACCTACTTCAGCAGCTTAAATTGAGATGCAATGCTGACAAATCAATTTAAAGGCAATCCCCTGTAAGAAGTTTAATAGTACAATCATGAAATTGATCTCATTACATATGATATATAAGTTCAAATTCTGAAATATACAATAAAGCTATATATCTACATATATGCTGTCAAGCAAAGGAACAGACAACGTCAGTGATCCAGCACAACTCAATCAACATGATTCCGTATCCACGGACCTGATCCAACTTATGAATAAGGTACCATGTTTCACTCTTTACAAGTATCATTTCTGCTGTCATATTTCTAATAATTTATTGTCAGGTCAGTGGATAGGTCAACCTGTGCCATATCAAGATCTGCCTTCAAATAAGTCCTAACCTACAGTGAATACTTATGTGATCAGACTCTTATATACCAACAGGTACTGACTGAGAAACTGACAGAACTTGATATTTCAAACAATACCTACAGAACAATTGAGAAACTAACAGAAGTTGAACTTTTGCATGGCATGTTAAACTTGTATCTAATCCATCATTTAATTTTTGGGCAAAAGAAGAATACATCCTAATTTAGATTTTCTATTGGCCAAGTGGGAATACAATGAGTGAGGGGAACTCACAAAATAGAAATAATAACAGAAATAAGGGAAGCTTAAAGAGTGAGGAGAAAACAGAAGGAATTAAATTAGTGGAGGTTAAAGGAACACGTCTCAGATGAAGATTTCTGGGGCCAGCCTTTATTAGAAAGGATCAGATTCCTCAAGAAAAAAGAGGGTCCAGCATTTCCATATTGAATGAACCTAATCGACCTGTGAGGAAAGATTGCTCTACAAGCTCAAACAAAAATAATGTGGCCAAATTTGTGGAAATCAAGCACTCTGCAATGTCAAAAGGGAAATGGAGAACAATTGAGCTCCAAACCAAGTGATCTCCACTTGTCCAAGTTGATCAAGTGTCTGATATCCTTAAATCACAAGTGACAAGACAAATGCTCATCCAAAACCTCAGTTCATTAACGGCAAAAGGGAGACTATTCCTAAAGATGTTCATTTTATCCGAAACGTTGTTGATCTAAAAATCTGCATCGTTTCTCCAACCAAGAAATAAAACCAGAGGAGAATCCACAGATTAACAATAAAATGATACCACAATTTGACTATCAGAAATGACAAATAACTTCAACTTGTCAAATCTTTACCAGGATTGATAGAAATCCCACTGACATTGGTGCTTATACCAAGTGTGAGAGACCTTCATAACGAGAAGCAAGGAAGTCTATACAGTTTAGGCTACTAAAACAAATGCGTGCACAAAATCTGCAGAGAAATAGCTGCAGAAAAGGGAATCAAACACCCTTCCAAAGCAAGGGTGCTGTAAAATATAGCAAAGTCAACAAAAAAGTGGACCTTATATTTTATCCTTAAATCATGAGCCAGGCATGAGTCGCCCCTCCATATCTCAGTGTGGCCTCCATCCATTATTCCATTCCTATAACAGCCTAAAACATCTTGTAGAGGGATGTACCACACATAAGTGGAAGACCTGCCCATCTCCACAGCCTTCACTTGTCTGGTCTTAGACCTCAGCATGATACCGGACTTGGACGATTTCCATTTCGCAGCGAATATCACATATGCTTTGTGGAATTCTTCGAGGGACAAAAGAGATCTCCGTATCATTCCATTGGCTATCTACAGCCAACCAGAAGGAACAAACGCATACCAAAACTTATAGCTCAATGTACCAGCCATGCCTATATAAACCAAGTCTCTTATGTCCACAAGGTGCAGTGGAAAAGATGTAAGATGGTGCTTCGAGGAGGAAAGGTTGCACACCTGCCTCGAGGGATGAGGGAGCTTGTTGAGGGCTTTGCATGAAGAGGCAGAGAGTAGAGTACAGCCAAGGATGACTTGCCGACATTGCCTCGAGAAAAAAGAGTGCCTCACCTGCAAGTTGCCGGCAAGTTTGTCCTTGGCTACATTTGGCTCTCTTCTTCTCATGTAATGCTCTTGCAGGAATCAGGCCATGAACCCCAAGCAAGCGATTAACACTCTCTGCATGACACTGGTAAGTAGAAAATTTTATGTTTAGAACTGTATACAAGCAAGAAATGGTGTTTATTTCTTGAATTTTGTGTGGAACAAGCAATCGACTTCATGTGAAGTAATAGGCAAAACCATTAATAAAGCTTACTGATAAGGAGTCCTTAGACCTGATTATGATGGTAAGTTTGCTTCTTTTGCAACCTAAGAGATCAGGGTTCAATTTTCCGAAACACTCTCTGAAATAGGGCTAAGGCTGCATACGTAGAGTCCTTAGTATGTATAGGATCTAATTCTAGTTGACAGCGCTAGAAGGAGGTGAAAGCAAGACCCACAAATTGTCAGCTCAATCAGAGAAATCAACCGTATATTCCCAATGCAATTTTCCATGTCATAAGTACCTCTTTTCTGCCAATTGATCAAGCGCATAGCTCAGCTCCTCGCTTATGAGACCACCGGAAACAATCCCCTGCCTCCGTTGCAGCACCCAGCGTGCGCAGGACCAGCTCGCTTAAGACCTGCATCACCAGCTTGCCCTATGCATACGTACTATACCAACATCTCGCTATCAACCAAATAGAAACTACAAATGAAACCAACACACCATGATGGCCAGCAATCTTGGGACGAAAACAAAGGAGGGAAGAAAAGGGGATTCGGAATGAGAAACCAACCGGAGCAGGCGACGCCCTCCTTGAGTCAGGCAGGCGTAGACCAGATCCCGGAACGTCCGGAACCACTTCTGCTTCATGGCCGGCGGTCCGATAGAGCAGCATCGAGGGGGACACCCTGACCAGCGACGCCGACATCGCCGTCGCGTCCTCCATCGGGATCGGAGTTCGCAGACCTGAGAAGTGTTCCTTCCGATTCCTTTGCGGAGGGCGGCGGGCGGCGGTTTTAAATGGGCGCGGAAAACCGCCACGGCGTGGGGAGAAGGGGAAGAGAAAATTATATTATTATTTCCAAAAATTATATCTTTTGGGGTCTTTTACGGATCAACCCTTTCTAGTTGTGAAATAGCATGCATGTCCCTCCAAAGTTGATTAACCCCTATGAAATATGATTACTAGTAATTGACTTCAATTAAACATTGTTTAACATAAAATAATTTTTATTCTTATCAATTATTTTACTACATGATTACTTTTTTTTGTCTTATTTACAAAACATATGTATTAATGATTATAAAATATTAGTAGAAAGTTAGAGAGTCTTATTTTAGACTTTGATTACACCATAAAAGAGGGTCACAAATCTCAAAGCTACCACTAAATCTAGTGGATGTTAATTTGATGATAATCGATTAACAGATGTTAACAATAATGAAGTATATGTTATTTTTGTGAATTTTATGACTATAAATGCATTTATGCTAAACCTAAATTTAGAGAGGTAAATGTTCACATTATTTTTCCAGTCATTTTTTATAATTTAATAAATAAAAATAGTTACTTTATTTAATATAATTATTTTGGAAATATTTTGAATAAAACCTAAATTTTTTATTTAATAAAAAAAGAATTTGAGGATATTTTAATTCAATAAAAAATGGGTTAGGAGATGATTAGTTTGGAAAACATTATTTATATTTTTTAATACTATTTTTACAAAAAAAAAAAAGAAGAAGGTGTAAGATATAAATATAAATAGGGTGTCTGATAAAGTTCAATAATCTCAACTTGGCTAACTCCTTTCTTCTTTTTTCTATTTGCCTAAAAATTAGTTAAAATGCATTTTGATATATAAGATAGGAAAAGTGCATTTCTAAAGTAAACAATAAGAGAAACTAAGTGATATTTAAAATGATGTGAGAATATTTGGGAAAAAGGTCATTTATGTCAAAGACAATCTAATATGTTTGACCATATGATTCCCATGATTTTGACTTGAGATTTACATATTTAGGGTCTTTAAGGTGTATTCATGCATGTTAATTTAACTGAGAAAAATTATAAATATATATTTTAAATATGAATTTATATGTTTTATTTTTTATAAATATTGAATTAATCAAATACTAAATCAAGATTATTTATTTATTTATTTATTTTTCTCTTGGTGGCCAACGAGGATGAAGGAGCGCAACGTGAGACCCGTCCGGTGGAGCCACGTTCGAATCCAATAACAGCGCAGGTAAACAGTCGGGTAGACGAAGAAATTTGCATTCATCGAATGGGGGAAGATTGCGTAGGATTGAAGCTCGAGATTGCGCGGCATCTCAATAAATTTGGGAAGCGTTAAAGATTACCATGGGATTCCAATTTGAACTCATCTTGGATGCCTGTGGCTCCCCCTCCGTCGTTCTAGGGTTTTCTCCGTCGGAGAGTGCTCTCCATCTCCCTTCTTTGGTCCATGGAGTCCCTCTGCAGCTCTGCTGTCACCCCCTGGCGGATTGAAGCCCCTGTTGTTCAACCAAAGTGCTCATCCCTAGTCAAAGCCTCAACTTTCCGATTCTGGCGCGGTAACTGCCCAGAAAAGCTCGCTTCTTTGGCACTTTCGGGGCCTCCGCGGAGCCCTCAGAGTCGCGGGGGAAGGTGGCGGGTCCTCGCACACGGAGCCTCCGGAATTGGCGGGGAAGACAGTGGGGCTTTGACAAATGGATTTAGTGTCTTGATCGACGGTGACCCCGCATCGATTCAGGTACATTGCGACGATAGTTCCTATGGTAAAGGTTTTGTTTATGTGGTCTCGGAGGTGGTGTTTTCTCCTCTTGTGCTACCCTGTCAGATGTATAAAGTTCATGCCTGGACTGATCTCTGTTGGATCATTAATTGTTATATATATACAGGGTTAGAGAATTAATTTGGACGTGTTTTCTACGAGGATAATATGACTGTAGTAAATATAATTTCATGGTTTACGAGAAAATAAAGTGATGAAGAAAGCAATATGATTGATGATAGAAGCCATAGCTTCCTTGCCCACAGACTAAATTATTGGTCATGAAATCAGCATGATGAATCACTTTTCACATGTAGGGACTCTCTTGTTCAGCCTCTTCATCCATATTTTACCTGAGCATGAAAACTCTACATTTCTTCTCTCCTAATCCCTGTAATGGTATAAAGAAGTCATTTTCATCTCAATTTTTTATTGTGAGGAGTAAAACTAGTGACTGGTAAGAAAATTTATGATATTTCTTTGGTCTTTGTCAGAATGACATAATTCAAAATGGTGGCTATGAGGATTGCATGAGTGGAAATATGGAAATGGTAACACCTGTTACTGCTGGAAGTGTAACAACTGCATCCAAAGCTGGACTCTTCAGGACACCGATTTCTGGTGGTGTTCAAAGTGCATTGGCTGTCAATAACTTACCTCACCCAGCCTTAGCTGTTCACAATTTAATGCAACAGGTAATGTTAACCAGAAACAAAATTATTGGGGATTCTCAGATAGTCTTTTTTTTTTTTCCTGCTTATTTTTTCATGTTATTCATCTGAATATGATCTTTTTAAGTCCATGCTAATTCGTGTCTTACACCTCATACCTCTTTACCTCTGCTTTTATGTCGACAAATAAAGGCCAAGTATGGTCAACTATGCACTATAGTGTCCCGGATGCATAATCGCCGTGAAGGCTACCCATTTGGTTCGTTGGTAGATTTTGCACCTGATCCAATGGGGCGTAAGCATCATTCTTATCTTATATGTATTTCCAACCTCACCAATTACAGGAGATTCAGATCTTGTTATTTTTGTGCTACTATGCAGATCCCATTTTTTCACTCTCTCCACTAGCAATCCATACAAGGAATCTCTTGGTGAATTCAAAATGTTCGCTTGTTGTGCAGGTGCCACATAGCTTGATTGATACAATCATCTTGTCTAGGACTTTAGATACAGGTTCTGTTTTTCTCCATGCTAAAATGATCTTTTAACTGAAGATACCTGGATGGACGTCACTATCAAATGCACGTGCGACGATATTTGGTGATGTCTTCCCTCTTGCAGCTGATCAGCAGGTTTTTGACTAGTTATACAAGTTTTTTGATGGCTCTATTCTTTGCTATCTTTTTTGGAATACTTTAGTATGCGAAAGCTATGTATTTTATTATTCTGTGGCTACAGACATAAAATAGCTGATATGTTCTTTTTCCAACATACAATAACTAGTGAAATGGATATTTAGGTTAAAGTTTATGGCCGTCATACATCAAGGAGAGAGATCGCCTATGTAGATAGGGATTAGGAGAGATACTGATGCAGGAGTGAGATTTGATGTGTTAAATGGCCATTAGGATTACCCTGAATATTTTGTCAAAGTTCTGCTGGTTATTATAGATGTTCTGACAAAAAAAATTTACTTTACGGCTTTGCTAGTAATGGATGTCTAAAGATGTTACATTTTTATCTACCTTAGGAATGGGCTTGTCAGCAATTTGCGGCAAAACACCAGCAGTGGGCATCCAAACAATTGGGCAACTTATACTATTACAGGATGCAGAACATTAGGTTTGCCTTTAAACTTCTTTTCCCACGTTTGATTTTGTGCATTCACATGTACTTGAAAGTTGAAACTATATACCAGTACCACTGGACCTGATAATAATTTTAGATACAGTTTGTAGGAATCCACTAGCATATCGATAGACTGAACTTCAACTTGAGCAGTTTTGATTTGATTTAGACCAAGGTATGATATGATGTAGAGGTGAATTCTTGTAGTAGGAAAATTGTTAGAATAGAGGCAAAGATTCTAAATGCATCTTTGAAGTTTTGGATACAGAGCTAAAAGTTGAAGTTTCCTATCCTTCATCATAACTCTGAAGTTTCTTATTAAAATTAGCTTCAATCACCATCAACAGTTGAATATATTTCTAATTGAGATCTTCAAGACTATCCTTGATTTAGTTGCTCTACTACTAATCTTTTTGAGCTTGCCACCTAGTTGTTAGACTAACAATGTGAATTCTATCTGATTGGGTTTGGGTATGATTTTAACAAGAATGAGGGTCTAATCTGCTGTTGAATGGATTCTTGCATAGAAAATAAGGATAGTAGAAATAAAGAAGGGTAAAATAAGGATATAGAGGAACAAGGCATCGTGCCAAGAAATCTCTCTCAAACCTTTACATCCTTGACAGTTTTCCAACAGGATTGACCATGCATCTTATTTCCACCAGCATGTCTATTGCTGGTAACATGCTAGTATAATAAGGAATGGCTTCATGCCAATCGACACTAGCCAAGGACAACAAACTTGTACTGTTGTTGTGACTTTACAGAAGGATTATTCTTGTTACTTCAATTATTTGCTAGCATTTTCAATTTCAAGAAATTGCATTTGTACTATGTTGCACATTTGGAAGGCAAGTTCCAATGGGACCAAATACAATTTGAGACAAATTTGTCAATGATTTTGCTTTTTCAGATTTTAGATTCAGAATATATGCATGGTCCATGAACATTGTTTTGTATAAGTTGTTTTAAGATGCAATGTGAATGTATAAATTTTTAAGGTTTTCTTTTTCTTTCAAGTCTTCATAACAAACTCTAATATTTGTTAGGTTTTTCACCATTTAAGGATGTTGAAGCAGTATCATCCCATTTTTATTCTAAACTTTACTTTTGGTGCTCAATTACTCTGGTTTTCTTTCTTATTGTGTTAAAATCATTTACTTCAATCATATTTTTTTCATGAATATGAAGTATGTACTCTTTATATATTTCCATGACTTATATCACCTTCAACATAGTTCAGTGGCATCTATTTCATTGGAGGATTTGGAACTGTTGCATGGGTAGATGTTAAGGAATATGAGGCCTCAAAACCTGATAAAATTGCTGCTGACAGTGGAGAACAAAATTTGAAGGTATCTTTACACACAGCTGCATGCTTTTCATCAAATAGTTTTGTTTTAACTTTATAATGTTTTGTTCCCTTAATTTTCAAAAGAAAAAGATTATTAGTGTCAAGTGACCTTGCTCTCTCCTTGACAATTGACATTTGATAATAATATCTTCTGCTTAGGAACTTAATGCAATCTTCTCAAAATCACTCAAAGATAGCTTATCAACAGAAGCTGAGATAGATGATGCTGCTTTTATTTCCATAGACAGTAAAGGCACTGATATTCGGGTTCGGCAAGGTGCACAGGTAACTGTTATCACTTAGAATATCACAAAGAAATAAGTCTGTGCCCCCTCATAATTCTAAATACTGAGTTATGTACCACTTCATGATAATATTGAATTTTTAATTCCAACTTTTGATTTTCACTCTGCTGCAAGTTTTTAAATCACAACGGATAGATCTAGCAATTTGATCTGTGTCATAGTTGACAAGAAAGATCAAAAACTAAAATTATCATCACTATTTTTACTTCTAGTTCTAGATAGGCAGATTTTAGTAAAATTTTCAAGTGCAATAATGATTTTTTTTCCGACATCAAAGATCATCTTGTCTAGTGAAATTGCTAACCTCTTTTGTAAAAGTGTTGCTTATGCATTTCACAATAATTGTGAATATAATAGAATATTAGATGAAGGGATGTGATCGTGATTGATCAAATTTAGCAGGGAGCATTATGAATAACTGCAAAGTTAATGGGTCAAGATAAGATGGTCAGGAGTGATGTTGAGAGATCTCTTCATCCTGATTGATGGGAGCTAGTGCTAATTGAAGATGTGAAAAATTAGGATATTCAAGTGCTTGTCTAATCAAGATGGTGTAGGAGGTGGATTAAAAAACACATGCAACTTTCTTGTGTGTTTGCATTATATGGCAGAAAGACAAGCACTTGCCTCTGTTTGATGGATCACTATCTTGATACTCCTCTTAGTTGCTTTTGCTTGATGCTCAAGTCTCTGAAAGCATTTTATATGCTCTTTAAGTTTCCTCACCTCTTGATTGCATGTGTGGCGGTACTTGGGATCGACATAAAAGGGCAGTCCAGTGTTCGAAGTTTTCACTTGGACATAGAAATCCAAAATAAGGACCGCTCTATTTTAAATTAAGGCCATTATTGAGTTAAAGATTATTTAGGTGTTAACTAATAAGAACAGTGGAAATTGGTACTTTTAATAGTTCTGGTGCATTAGTATTTTGATTTTGATTTCATCAGAACTTCATATACTGTTTCAGATTCAAATTGTGTGCAAACTTTGTTACATACATTATCTAGCTTTTATATCTACATAGAACAGATGCTGTTTATATTGAGGTGCTCATGGGGCCTTTTTTTATGCCACTGCAGTTTAACGTTCAAAGGATATCATTTGAAGTTGAACATGATGTGCAGACACTGGATGATGCGAAAGCAGCTCTTGAGAAGATAATAAATAGGTATAGAAGATAATGAATTAGTCTCACCTTAGTACAAGTATCCCAGTGATGATTTCAGAGACCAGCAGATACGAGAGGTTTTGCAAGAGACTCTCTTGATGGTAGCTCTCTGATAAAGAGAGTAGCTCTCTGATAAATGAGCTTATTCTCCATCTTTCTCCCCCTTATTTTGAATCTTCCACGGTATCTTTACATAATTGCAGACAAAAATGGGCTTACTCTGCTCAAGTCCAAGTGATTTATTGTCTTTATGAATTTGAACTGACAAGAGATTATGTTGCAATTTTCAAGCATAATCTTATAATTTTTCTCTTTTCCAAAACTGTATTATTGTGCTACTCCAGTGGATACTGTAAAACCTCAACAAGAGGTCAAATGATTTGTGGTGTCAGGCGGAGCTTGTGCTTGGGCTGTAGGCACTTTTGGAGATTCCTGTATCAGGTCTCCACCATGCTGTGTGTGGAGTGGATACACACTATAAAATGCAACTTGTTGTAATGTTGTTAGTGCTTGGACTGAACCATAAGAACAATGGTTTGTCATCCATCAAGGCTGGACAAAGCTTGCAGAAGCCTTGTCTCATGATCTGGTCAAGTAATAGTGCAAATCCTCTAAGGTTTCAGATGTATCAGTGACCTGCCTCTTTCTTTTTGAGTGTGTCTCTGAATCACTAGCAAGCCAAGGGTTTATAATCTGTAGCTTTATGGCCACAGTGACCATGGCACTGTGAGCTCATTTTTTGATGACCAGGAACCTGAGACTCATCTCTTCTGTGAAGCTTGGAACAAGAAAATGATCTTGTTTTTCCATGGGGAAAATTTTCTGATGGTCCTGCAGACATTTCATGCTTGCGGTGGTGGTCCAGCATAGAAGGGGGACCAACCAACAAATTGCATGTCAATGCGGTCCTGCAACATGTCTAACAGATTCAGCATGTAATTTGTCTGGACCGGCTGTCGGCGGCACCGGTCATGATGTATTATTGAGGAAAGGAATGGATGTCATGATAATAATGTATTATTGAGGAAAGGAATGGATGTCATGACGAGGAAAGGAATGGATGTCGGGCAATCGCAGTCGCGATCAACCCGATTGTTAATGTACAAAATCTTACCTTTTTTTTTGGATAAAATAAAAAGATCTTAAAACACTTTTAGCACATCTATGTCCATTTCCTATGAATTATTAGGGCATTCAAAACTCATGACCTGATATGGAAATTTTATGCATTGATTCAGCATAAAGTTGATGCTTCTTTTTCTTAGCCATATCAACTACCTTTCCACCTGTTATGTTCAGTGAAGTCAGTGAAACAAAAGTACTTGAGCAACCAAACTGATAAGCCATTCTGTTCCTGTTGAGATACTAACTTCATTTCACAATTCAATGCAAAATTGCCATCGATTGAACACTTATGAATCTCATAAGAGCGAAAGAAAAAGAAATAGTTTGAATGGAAATGAGAACAACCAATTATACATGAACCGATCCAATTTACTTGAATAACAACAGAATGATACAGTAGGTGTTGCTCAGTTTTCCCTTCAAACAACACAATTATCCACTAAGCCATCTTAAAAATTTATCTAGGTTTACTTAAACAAAAGGTGTAAAGACAAAGCTATACAAGCTAAAGATATTAGGCCATGATCGATCACAATGTCATATACTGCCAAAGCTAACAACAGAGATGGCATAAATAACATCTAATATTTTGACACCAGTTATGTCCATTATACCGGTATGACGTCAACATTTGAAGTGTCTTCACATCTCAATATTATTCCGTCGAGGCTTGATGGAACTATGCACTTCGCCCACTGGCATCCTGTGGAGAAGGGCTCAGAAGGAGGAACTATCATTAGAACATTCTCATTCTTTTGGACGATCCCCATTACACTCACGGTGCTGCCCTCTTTGACATAACTGCAGTAAATTGATTTAAGTAGTTAACCGAATGAACCTTGTGCAAAGATTTATTTGTTTCTCTCATTAGAGTGCCGATGATTAATGAGAAACATTAGATATACGAAGAGAACCAGATGGGAAGAAAAATATTCCAACCATAACAGAAAATTGTCTATCTAACCAAGAAATACAATCCTAGCATCTTCCTTATTTCTACTGCAGAAAGCACAGACAGAAGAAACATTTTTTTATTTGATAAATGTTAGCAATTAAACATCTCAGATTACCCTTCTTTCAGGCGCATCATGCGGTCATCACTGGAAAGGTTCCTCTCTTGCAACCACCTGAGAAATTCAGGAGACAAGTCCATGTTGTTTGGGTTGACGTCGATAACAATAGACTCATCAACATATGGGGTCACCTTAGAACCATAACCGGCTTTGACCAGAGCTCTCAATCCCGATTGAAAATCAGATATGTAAAAGTCTACCACGTGCCTCTGCCAAAGTTTCATATAAGAAGAATGTGACGGTTAGGTCAAAGTAATCATATGATACTAAAGCTTGTGTGCTTGTCGTTTAGTCTAAAAATTCCATATTTGTTTATAAAATTCAGCTAATTAGAAAAGTGGCATACCTCCATTGATCTTAATCCCCAGGTAAAACATCGACGCTGGGAATTGGCAGCCCTTGAGTTCCAGCCCCTGTATTCATATAGACCAGTGGATGTGTACACACATCTGGGGACCTTATGATATGATGACTCAAGTGGAAAGTTTCCACACGTAACAACCTGCAAAATGCTTAAGTTAAAAATACCAACTAGCTCGACAATTAAGAGTGAAACTAAGAGGAAGAGGGGTAGACAAGCAATAAAAAACATACGATATATGTTTAACAATCAGAAGTAGTATATTAAAAGAAAGGTTACAACTCAACCAAGAAAGACATTTTCAGCAATGTTTCTCCACATATTAATCAGTTGAAAGAAGCTCCATGGACCAGAAGAAGTACTAGTTAACTAATTATACCTTTGGTTATGTAATATATATTTCACAACATGCTCAAGAGCTCACAACCAGTTTGAAGAGGACTGCTTGCAAATATTTTAAAGCAATTATTTGTGTATCTTCAGAAAGAAAAAAAGTAACTATAGATTTACTCCTTTGATGGTTTTTAGACAACCAGCAATGGTGCTCAAGTTACATACCCCGGAGACCTTGACATACTGCCCGTCCTTTGCATTTCGCAGATCAGCATCAGGATACTGGGCAATGAATCCTACAATTGCTCTTCGTCCAAAACAAGTATTCCAAAAGGAAAGCACAATGACAACTCCAAATATGGTTACGACAACAATAAGAAGAATGGCATTTTGAACAGCACCAAGAATGAAGCCACCTGCAATAAACCCCATCACAAACAACAAAATGACAGACCAAAGGATAGGCTTAGGCAAGGTCCCCTTGAACAAATAATCATTCTCCTGAGTGAGGTTAGTGACAGCTTGGTTATGAACAATGGAGGTGCTATGTGGCTTCATTGACTTAGTAGAATCCAGAGAACCTGATACTTTCCGAGGGGCTCCAGATGAATTAAGTGGCCCAGAAGATATTGGCCCCGAAGTGATGAGACCTGTAGTTGGCAGTACCGGTGGAAGAGGACCAGAGTTTTGGCGAGCCATTGGGGTGACACCTCCAGATTGAGGCCCAGATGACTTTTTAACTGAATCCCCATGTCTAAGCGGGCCAGAATTAGATTTCTGTCTACCGGAACCACCAGTGACAAATGAAGAACCAGAACCTGGGGCTGCATAAGAAGACTGCCCAGGGCCATTAGGCATGATAGGCCCTGAGTGGGAAGCAGCACCTCCAAATGATCGATTTCTTGAAGGGGTATTACTAAGAGGCCCAGATTTTCTGGATTTTTCCACATGAAGATCAAACATCTTCCCTAGTTCCCCAGATTTTTTAATATCTCCACCTGTATATGGCATGGCTGTGGAGCAAATCACTGGAGGCTTCTCCTTGGGTTGCTCAGGTCGGCCTGAAACATAGAGGCCATTGCTGAGCTGGTGCGATGGGAATCTGGAACCCATTAGACTTCAAATGGCTTGACAGATCTTGGCAGGGCTGAAGACATATATCTATTGTAATCCACAGGGATCAGCACTCATGATGAGGAAAAAGTTGCAAGTTAAGTGCAATTCCACAATTTATACCTCAAGCGCTCTGTTAAAATACTAAGAAACCATGTCAGAGATCAAGAATGCATTTTCAGACACACTCTTTTACATGCATTGCTTAGTTAGAAATTCTACAGATTAAAAAAAGGAATGCAGTACATAAACGAATCAATTGAAATCCCAAGCCCATATTAGTATTAATGGAAAACAGGAAAATCTGATGCTACTCTTGGCAGTAATAGCAAAATCTAAGTATCAATCCTTAAGACTCTGAAGTAGTCATACTTGGTTTCTGTTGGTATAATACTCATTTCTACTACTACCTTTCTTAACAAGACAAAGACAAGTACCTAGGAATTTAATGTTCCTCCAAGAGTGTTAATTGCCTCAGGTGATTGACGGTTATCCATAGCAAATTGAGGATCAGACAACAAAAGTACTCCAAATCTGCATTGACTTTTTTGCAAGAAAATTTCAAGAGTATTGAGTCAATGGCTGGAAAAATAAAATATTTATAAAGTATATTTCTGTTACACTGAGTTACATTAGAAATAGGACTAACTAACCAAAACATGTAGCAATAACAAGGCAAACAAAGTAAAGGTCTCATTCAAACTTATTTGTCCAATATGGGAAGCAAAATAAATCAAGGATCACGGAAACAAAAACTTTCTAGACAAGAAATGATTAAAAATGATAAAAAAAAAAGCTCTTAACTAGAGACATAAGCTGATGATTGCAACTCTAGACCTATAAAAGTGAATTTCATGCATTTGAAAATTATCCATACTAGAACTTCTTCTTTTTTTCTTTTTTTTTTTTTTTTCTTTTTTTTTTTTTGTCAAATGGTAAGTAGTGTGGATGGGATTTGATCCTTAGACCTTGCTATCAAATAGTCAAAGTCTTAACCAGCTAACTTCGAAATATTTCGTAAACCATGTTAGGTGTCTCCAACTAGAAATGGTAATATGACAAAGAACAGAGATCAGGAAACTAAAAGTTGAGGATGATAAGTGATAACCTACTCAAGCAATGATATTAAATCTGCCAAAAGTTGCGTGAATTCTGTTTTCCATCATGTGATCTAATAACAATGTCACATGGAATGGAGATGACATAGAAGACCCTCCCCCGACCGGCATCGAGTAGTTAGTAGTTTCTATGTCCTTGTGCGTTCCTTCAATCTTCCAATTCAAACTGTCTTTGGTCTCAAACTTCCATGGCACTATTATGCCTGTACTGATTATGCCCCCAATTCAAAAATTTATCAACAGCTCTTGAACAACACTGGTGAAGTTAAGGGAAAAATATTCTATGCTCAATAGCATCGTTTTGTGATTACTCCAATTTCACAGTTGATCTCTTTCAGTAATATATGCACCTCCAGTTAATTCAACACATAAGGCATCTCATCTCAAGATGTTGATTGCCTTTTATCGATTCAACTTTAACATTTAGTTTAATTTCTTTCTTTAGATCCTATAGGTCAAAAACAGAGATTGGAACTTACATGCTCACCTTGAAACCTACATCTGAAGACGAGAGCTAGAAATCATGCAGAAGAAATTGAGGTTATACAGGAGTTTGGCTAAAATCAAGGGTATTATATCAAATAGTGACCTGAAACAATGAAAAGACTAAGTCAAATACACTGACATATTCAACAAGCAGAGATCAAATGAATATTCAGGTCTTAGATTGCAGTGCTAAAAAATTTCTGCAAGTCCATTTAGACTATCTAAGGTCACATAGACCGGAAGGCAGATAAATGGATTTAAAAAGATAAAAATGCTAATAGGGACATCTCAATTTCCAATCCAATAATAGAATTCTTTGGTCTTGTATGAAACTTCAGATTCTTGCTGACTCCATTAATTTTTCCAATGCCCATAAAACGAAATACAGATTCCACTGTAACGTGCACAAATTTAGAATCTAACATAAAGCAACATACATGGGTGAAAGATGTCAGAAAAAGAACTGGCCCCTTTTTCAAAAAAATATCTAAAATCAAGATAAAGATCTCGAATTTGCATTTCCACTCTGTACACTCCCATCTCTAACAAGTTCCAATGCTAACCATCACTAACAAAACTGCAATTTTTTTCCAATTTATTTTTATTCCAAAAAATTGAAGCAAAATTCCCCCACAGAAAAAAGAAAAACGGAAAAGAAAAACAGATCCAGTGACAAGGAAAAGCTACCAACGAGACAAAGGAAACAACTTTCCGCTACCTACGAACACGCTAAATGAATTTAAGCAACCAATTCGGGCCCAAATCAATCCCCGCCCGATGCCCATCTCCACCCCGGAGGAAACCAAATTCGGATCCAAATCTCGTTCCAACTCTACCAAAAGAAGACCGAACTCGTTCCCACTCACCCAGATCTAAAACCAGAGTGGGGAACAGACCCGCACTCGCCATTCTACCCCGAGCTCGGTGAGACTCGAAGTGCCAATGCCGCAATAAACGATCCATACCTCAGAAAAAAGCGGGAGTATCGCGAGTTGGGCGGATCAGAAGCACGCAAGAGATGGGGTTCAAGCTGCTACGGAGCCTGCAAGGAGAGTGGCCAAACCAAAGTGAGCATGGAGCGAGAAGGAGGAATCAAAGAAATAGCAACAGGAGAGGAAGATGGAAGCACAGGCAGCGTCTCTCTCTCCTCCTCCTCCTCCTCCTCCCACCCCAACTCTTAATTGCAGTGAATCTCTTAGACGAAATGACCGTAGTAGCCCTAGGTTAATTAACGTGTCT